TTTCAACACCAGATTGTGTTCCACCTTGGGGCAACCAAACTATCACCTTGCCACTGGGGATAGAAATGAAATGTACCATTTGTTTACATGTAAGTGTAATGATGAAACTTTAGTGACCTCCGGGCATAAATTACTGATTCTATTAATCTGAGACTTTTTCTAAGAATGTTTTAATGGACTCTGCAAAATTCCACTCTCGGGAATAAAAATGCAAACAAGTTACTGTTGTTATTGATACTTTTAAGCCATTACTTCAAACAGCCCTGCCTGCTCATACAGGCTATTTGTGAGCAGACTGGCTCCCGGTCCGTACATTATCGATACTGATTGTGAGGCGGGAACCAGCCTACCCCACGAGAATGGAATTCTTGTCTGGCTGCCAATAATTCAAAATTGTGAAGTAATAATTCAATAAAAAAAGAATTTGATAGCCGATTTTTTTCGGTCGATGTTTCATTCAAAAGTGAATAACTTTTGTATTGCTTGAAAAACAGCAATTTAGAAAAGGATATTATTCGGGACGAAACTCAAAAATAGCATGGGGACATGGGTGTCCAACCCCCCCCCCCCCCTCTCCCCCAACCGATTGGCGGCCATGTGCCCGTGCTATTTTTGAATTTTCTTTTCTCAATTGCCATATTTTTAGCAACTTTTTTAAGTGGGGGGGGGGGGGGGGAGATATCATATCGTTTGTCCCCCCCCCCCACTTTTTTTGTCCCCGAATAAAAAGTGTAGCCTACATTTGATTCTATAGCTGAGAATAGCTGATTCAATTACGCCAAACTCATAAATGATGTTTAAATGATGATCCTTTGCTACAAAAAAAATTGGTGAAAGTGGTAAGAAATTGCCTCAGATCGCACCACAGAGCTGGAATCCACAATTTTCCCACGCCGTTAGGGTTTTGCTCTTGCATTGACGCCCAGAAGACATTGACGCCCATGCACAGGGAGCACAACTTTGGAGAATTGAACATACACACATGTACATGTAAGGTACCAAACATGTATAAATTACCATAATGCGTGTACGTGGACAAATCCAAAGACATGGGTACATAACATAAGAAATCAATTTCATTTCATATTGCTGAGTGCTTATGGCTTCAGGGAAAGCGTGAGTAATTTCCAAATGAGGCAGACAGCTTACAATTTAATGAAATTTCAAAATCAAATACGGAGAAAGCTTTTCATCAGTTGCAAGATACAAGTACCGGTGCATGTACTTCAGTGTTAATATTAACACAGAACAAATTGAATACGGAAAAGGAGATTGGTGTTAGTGATGGGAATACTATCCGGATTATTTAAAATCCGGTTTACGTTCCACTATTCGGTAGGATTTTGAAAACTGGATATTCCAAACCAACCTTAAATAATTTATGCCTTCATTTGGTGACACAGAAAAAAATGGAACATCCCCCTATTTGCTCCAAGTTCCCTGATTGTAACTGCATTCACTAGCTAGTGGTCTTCTTGGTTGCCTGTCCATTTGACTGATCAGAGAGTTCCCACCCATTTTTATCGCCATAACAGCCCTGGAGGGCATAACATGTGGCACCTCACTTGTCACTTTTTGTTGAGCTAAATGTGAACTTTCGGTGAAATCGGATAACCTTTATTCGGTTTCAAAAAAAAACTAGGATAACCGGATTCTGAAATCTCCGATTGTTCCCACCATTAATTGGTGTGCATCATCAATATCAGTTGTTACAATTAATCTTATTTTCTGAATTTCAGCGCTTTGTACTTAGATATCCGAGTTTCAACTTCATTCATCTAATAATCACTTCATCTTTTTTTCTGTTTCTTTTTTTTAATTATAAACCAGAAGCAATGAGAACAAAGTATATTTATGTACAATGTATGTAATTGGTAATTGCCTTAGGGTCAGTAAAAGTGAACAATATTTAATGACATTCATAGGTTCATGGCGAAATACTGTATGCCATTACACCCCAAAGAAACTCACTTTGCTCTGAAATTCGTGTCAATTTTGAACCCAACTTTAAGCAAAAAAAACCCCCTGTTTTAAAATGATCAAAACTTGCAACCTTTCCTGCACATTATGAATAAATTTGAAGAACTCCTAAAAAAAGGAACAACAGGAAGTCAGGAAATTGAATCAAAATATACCCATGTAGGGCCTACCAGTGTTCGCTGGTTTTTCCTTAGGACTTTTATTGATTGGTACTATATTAATACTCTGAACCTGATATGCCAAAGGCAAAATCTTCACATCAATATTTGCGCACTTACACATACATGTACGAATGTCACCGTCCAGCACACATCTATCAGAGCACTCAGAAATTAGATCTTGTGTAAGAAGGTATAGGAGGGAAGTGTGAACTAAATATGTCTGTCAAAAACAATTTTTCTTATTTTTGTACATTCTTAAAGGTGTGCTCTTCAATACATTAATTTTTTTTATAATGACATTTTAAGTTTTATTTTTACAAACAGATATTTTTTTCTCTGTTTTGGATGTCTGCAACTCTCTTAAAACAAAAGCCTTTATATTGGGTTTATTTTGCGCAAAAAGATATCTTTGTTGTGAGTAGACTGGTTTCGGTGCCTAAATGATTGATTATTATAGGGATGCCCAGGCAGGAATTACCAGTCTATTCTGCAAACTTTACTGAGTTGTTGTTCAGCTGCAAATAATTCAAAATTTAATGAAATTATTCTAAATGTTGGTCAATTTTTGGTAGTCCCTGTACAATTAAGGCACTTGTTGTCGGTGCCGTCGCCAGCCCCAAGCATCGGGAGGGGCCATAGTATCAACTAGGGGGACCCACTACCATAAAAAATACTAAAAATGGTCTGCTTTGTGTTCCATGTAACCTTATTTTCAACTTTCATTTTGTCCTTTTATATAAAGGGTAATTTGGTGTCTTTTGGGTTTTTTTATGCTAATGCAAATTTGCATCTTCATGAGCAAAAGCGTGATTTCATTTCAGGCAGAAACCTCAATATTACAGCTACATGTATTTCAGCACCATAATTTGCCAAAATGTTATGCTGTTGTAAATTTTCTTTTCTTCAGTGATCATCACTGCTGTTTCAGTACTTGACAGCTATAGGGCTAATGACCAGCTAGTCTTCTCACAAATGTTTTCAATGAGCAAGTTTTGGGCTCACAATTTTAATAAAAAACCCCTAAACTGAACAGTGTCGATCTTGCTGAAATGACATCACAGCAACTGCGCCCTAGGTTGTCAGGAAAAGCAAGGACAAATTTCAACATTTAAAGAAGTGCACTTTTCAATAAGATTAACTAAAACAGGGTGTCCAGGCATGTACGCGTAATTCTGATGCGAAAATCACTTTTTAAGAAAATTGCATTGAAAGTTCCTATGCATATTGTGAATCCATACTTGTGAATCTATATATTGTGAATCTATACATTATACAAATTTTTAATTTGTCATACAGATAAATCATAATTTTTGGAACTTGTGTTAATTTCCGATGGAAATGTTTAAATTTCATTAAAATAGAGTCAGTTTTCTGCATATGCCCTTTTGCTGAGAACGTTTTGGTATTTACGCATTCGCGCGTAAGGGCGTACACGCATATGCCCTTCTGCAAGGCACACGACAAATTCATGTCTTGAGCCCTTTAAGATGTTACTCCAATACATCTATATATTTGGATACAACCTGTCAGTCTGTGAGTTGACCCATGGTGATCTGTGTATTTCTTGCCATCTGTCATCTGAACCCAGTGGGACGTATCACAATATTTTACAAATATTGTTTGGCCAGATTTCATAACACTGACAAAACAACAAGGGAGAATGGTTGTAAGATACAGCTCGCAATGGAATGATTAATGTTTCTTGGGGGCGAAATGTTGTCGGTCGGGCAGGTAAACTAATCTAGAAGAAGGAGTTCTGTGGATGTAACGGAATACATCTGGAACTTGGGGGGGGGGGGAAACAGAACACTGCAATCCAAACTGAAATGTAATCTGCTACATAAAGAACTCAATCAATACTACTGAAACAACATAATGTGACAGCATCATATTCATTGTTAATCACAGCAATGAAAGATGATAAACATCTTGTCAGATTTACTTCTTTTATTTCATTTAACAGGCATGAAACTGGGAAGTTACCAAAAAAGAGAAAATCCCAAACTTCACAAGACTTTATAAAATGTATTTTTATATTTATTTAATGACATAAGTGTGAGGCGAAAAACAAGGAAATCAGCTGATCCGAGAACAAATTGCATGCCTGTTTCAAAGAAAGAAAAGTGAACATTTCTGTAAAATTGATACCAACACTAGTACTTCATTCTGTCCACTGTTTATTCTGTGGAATTTTCAGAAGATTACACTGACAGTTAAAGGAAATAACAGGTATATTTGGAAAACAACAAAGAAAGGTTTTGTAAATCTTCCAATGTATCATCTAAGGTGGTTTTAAAGAAGAATTGTATGAGTTGTATAACAATTACAAAAAAAAAATCATCTTCATTGAAGGAAGAAGCTTTTAAGTGTTCACATGCTCAAATGCACCACTTGATTTGAGCAATACATCAACAAACAAAACATCAGTCAAGTATCTAAACTTGCTTGACTTAAACTGTTTTAGCAATTTAAAATTAAAACAAAAGAAGACATGTCAAAGTGCATGCATTGTCCTATGTCCTCCTACCACAATCCACGGCCAACTTAATGGTAGGATTAATGCTCAGATAAGTGAACGATACTGCCAACTATTCAAGAGGTCTTAAAGTAACTGCAATTTGCAAATTACAAGTAATCTACAGTACTTTTGGTTTTTTTGGCTTGCCTTTCTTAGGATTGCCTTTCTATTGCAAGTCCTGTATAGCAGATAAAACTGTTCAATTTAAACAATCTTTTGGACCGGTAACAATCATCCTTTAAACAAAGTGAGAGCAAAATGGTTCAATAAACCTCCTCTTAAAAGTACAGTACCTCAAAACTTTGATTATTTAAATTTTAAAGAACTTAACATGTACTTACAGTATGTCTGGGTGTAGGTGCCCAATCAACAGCACACAAAGCTCTGCAACTGTGGACTTTTCCAAGATGGCGGTTGTCGATGATGAAAATTAAGATCCCACCCTGTTTTCCGCTTGTGCTGGGTGTACAAATCCCCGACGCTTGTCTGAGCGAGCCCAACATACTGCACAGCAGAACGGCGTTCACTAACGCGCACCCAGTCTGGGTGCAGAGTCAACAGGAAGACGAAATTTGGGACGGACCAATCGCGGGGCTCCCTCGCGTTGCATCACGGAGTCTGGCGAGGAAAGAGAATATTATACCTCATTTGTGGCTTCAGGAAATCATGGCAGACCCCATAGAGTTACATGTACATGTAGGCACTGCGTGTGCGTAAAGGAGTAGTGTGTAGAACGCATCAGTACTGCGCCCAATGTTTAGACCACGAAAGGAAATAATTGATAGTGGAGGATATATATCTCTTTCTTTGGAGTTGTAATTGGATAACGGAACAATAGGCGTGCCATCAGCTGATAACGTTAAGGTAAGGAAGTCGATCATTTTGGGTTACTTTTGGAATACTTTTAAGACCCAGTTTATAGCTTTTCTTGTGATAAGTTTAGAGGTCGTTAATGTGTACAAAGAATGCTGAGTACAAAATATCTTGAGTTAAATCCTAGCACACGTTACAATTTACAGTCTTCCAAACACTATCCAGGTTCTTTCTTCAAAGTTTAAAATCTCTAAAACTCTTGCTTATTTCTTGTTTAACTTCAAAACACTTTTACCCTCGGTACTAGAATGTGTTTATGAGTTGCAGAATGAAATGTCCAAGTTACACTAAATGCTCATAAATGTGTTCCCTAAAAAGTAGAGATTAGGAAAAATGTTTTCATAGGGGTCGCGGGGGGGGGGGGGGGGGGGGGGATGTCAGACATGAGACATTTTCCGTTTCACCAATTTGTTTGAACAAAAACAGCAGTGCTGGGTCAACCTGTTTTTAACTGTAAGTGCATTCTATGTTAGTGATAGGATATACCTTATGTTTAGCAGGTATACATCTCAGAGGTGTTCTGTTATTTAAGGGTGCGTTCAATTGACTCGGGTAAAGGCAGACGGGTTAGATTTACTGCTTTTCAGTCTCAAAAATGTTGGACTGGAAACGTAGCCTCAATTTGAACTCAATAAGTAATTACCAGACTTCGAATAAAGTAAATTTTTAAGTCCACTTGAGATTTCCGCTGTCCGGCTGCCATATTTGTCCATTTCTTGGAATGACCAACACATGCATGTGACGTATTTCCACCACTGACTCTGCTCCATGTATGAGCAGTGTCTGTGGTGGCTGACCCGGCTGAGCCCTGAGAATGATGTCAGAGCTTATCGAATGGCACGGGGCGTAACCGCATTGACCCAGGTGAGCTAAACAAACGCGCCTATATTTACTAGAGATGAATGCACAAAAGATTGACTAAGTACCCATTCAAGGAACACAAGACCATTACTGCCCTCTAACTCCACAGTCAACACACAAGGTCTATATGACACTTTGTAATTGACAGCTCAAAATTGATTGCGCTTGCTCATATTTTTTTCTCCAAGCAATTTTTTTGGGTCTACTTTCACTCTCTGGGGAAAGTACATATAACCTGCAGTTCTTTGAATCTTTTACTGCTTTTACTGATCTTCGTTCATTACCATTAAATGTTGGGGCACTAAGTTTGCTTAAATTTTACTGTAAGTTTACTTAAATTTTTACTGTAAAAGGGTAAACAGGAAAGATGGCTTTCTCTTTTATTATTTTTTTGCTTGAGTGTGATGTCTCACTTAATGCAAGCGGGTTTGGGGCGACTGAGAGGTTGAGGCGAATGGATGACCGATTGATTAAAACCATTTGGCGTGAGGGATTCCTGGCCTGATGGGTTGTTTGGATAGCTCTTGTCCTGTCCTGCCGAACCACTCTTGGCCTATATCAATCCCTTAGACCAGGCTTAGGTTGTTTATGGTTGCGTGGGCATATATTTGGGAGACAAGAAAAGAGAGATGTTTCTCTTTCCAAATGGTGTAAAAAAAAAAAAAACCGAGGAGCCTTTTATTTTGAGTTCATTTGTGGTTTTTACACAATTCTTTTGTTTATTAATTTCCTATACTGTCAGAGTTATTTATGCATTATACTAGCCTAGCTAATATATTTCAAACAATAAGAATCCACAACAAAGCCAACTTTATTACAAATGTTTCCCACAGAATAAAAAGGTCACGTCTGTTTCATTTTTATACATAAATGTGAAAGTAAATTGTAAACTATACGAAGGAAGCGTGACAGGTTTATTAAAAATCGTCAAAGTTAAGTCCAAATTAAGTGAAACATACAAATGCCTGTTTTGCCATTGAGTAACAGAAAAAAAAAATGTGACAAACAATCTGTAACTAAAAAAGTCACTTTTCCAGTGTCGGCAAGACCGTAAACACTTCCTTTTTTTATTAAAAGTGACATTGCATTTATGGAAAAAAAAACTTCAAATTGTTACCACCGTAAGATGCCAAGACCATTAATCTTCAAAGTGAAGAAAAACAAGAAGAGTTGAAGAAGTCAGTGTAACAACCAAAGTATTTTCATTTTCTCTGAAGAGGGAGTCAAAATCTCTACTTCACAAGCAGCAGCGTTAAACCTTTTACAAGTGGCGTGGTACATGTAAATAGAATGACGAATTGCTATCGCAGACAGAATACCGCGCACCGTGCCGTCGTCCTGTTTTTTTTCTTCTCTGCATTTGGAGCAACCAGTTTATCACTGCCAAAACTGCGCACTTCTTTACCACTCACAATCGAACCACGTCAACATACATCCAGATACATACGTGTACTTCAATGTTCATCTCGACATGTCGCTGGAACTTTTCAGGTTTTAGCTATTGCATTTGGCGATACATGTACTTGTACTTTAGCCCCTATAGGCTATAGAAGCTTTTGTGGTTTAGAGCATCTCAAGCGACAGAATCGGCAGTCTTTTCGCCAGTGATGGTTAGGGGACAACTGTGAACGCATCCGTTGAAAGCTTCTGCTCACATATGGCTTCTGAAATGTTGTCCAGACTATTTTTTTACTGTCACTCTCAGATTTTCAGGAAAATCTGAATGGACAAGACGTTCCATGCTGCTCACTGACTGGTTTTTGGCCAAGACACCAAACCAAATCAAGCCCAAAGACCTACTCTGATGCCAAAATTATTTTTTCAGGAGGAAAACTTGATAGATGAGATGGATGGTAAAAGAAATATACATTAGGTACAATCCTGTGCAGGAAATACCTAGTGTGAGTGAAGGAAGCGAATGCACCTTGCCTAACAAACTTTCCGCGACAGAGAGGGGTCATACTGCACTGACCGCATCTTCCTTCTGAAGAGAGTCCTGGAAGGATTTGGGTTGAAAATGGCCACAACAGTTGCAATGAATTGCACAAATTGTACGTGGAGCACTGCCGGAGTTGGGGCAGCCTCCTCCGACTGCATTCTGTGGGGAGAGGTTTTCCACATCGTGTTCTGCTTCCTGGTGATCAGCTTTGGGTTACCAGGGAACAGCCTCATCCTGGGTGTGTACTGGACCAAGCAGCGCAAGACCAGCACCCATATCCTGATCATGGGGTTAGCCTCGTCGGATCTCTTCACGTGCTTGTTTCTGCTCCACGAGGTGGTCTCCAGTTGTCTGATCGTGGCACCGGGGGAGTGGGAGACCGCACTACTGATTCTCAAGTCTTGCAAGATGGTTGCGGTGTCAGTGTCGACTGGTATCACTGCCGCAATCGCCGTCGATCGTTACGACTGCGTCTGCCGTTGCAACCGCCGTTTGCTGACCCCCCACACGGCCAAAGTCGGCATTCTGCTCTCCTTCATACTCAGCATGTTGCTTCAGATCATTTACATCCTGCACGTAGTGGATCCGACGCAGAGTCGGATGAAGCTTATCACTCTTGCGGCCCAGTTTGTCATGTTTGTCGTCGTAGCCACATTAATCGTTGTGTGTTACTTCAAAGTCTTTTCTGCCGTGAGGCGGCACGTCAAAGTCAGCGTGCATGCGTGGCAGTGTCGCGGGATCAAATCGGATAATCTGCAATCGAACCCTGTCCCTAACATCTCAGAGTGGCAGGAAACGGCTGTAGCGACGGTCAACAGTGTTTGCATGCTTGTCCCACCACCACAGATGAACACGAACACTCCAAGTCAATCCACAAAACAAGGGACAAAAACAGCTTTTCTTGCACCGACAACCTCTACGCATTCAAGAAAATTCAAGGCAGCTATACATGCTATACAGCGTCAGCAGACTGATACCTCTGTGAACGCAGACAGGAACATTCAAATGAACCAGCCTGAGACAGCTCCAGTTTGCCAGAGAAGTACGGGTACCAGACATCCAGTTTGCAGAGCCCAGACTGTGCAGGGACGAACCACGTTAATGCTTTTCCTTACCAGCGTCACCTTCCTGTTGTCATGGATACCGTATTGGTCTTTCGTTGGTCTGAGTGTGGTTAATATCATTGGGTCAAACGCCTCGCCGGAAGTGACGTACACTTTTGACAAAATGGTTATTCTCTTGTACTTCAACAACGCCATCAATCCACTCCTTTATGGACTGGCAAACAGGCGGTTTCGCAAGGACTGTAAAGTCATCCTCAAGAAATGCTTCAGGCATTAAGCTTGTTAGATTTATTGTCATTATCTAAAGTTAGGAAGTGTTAAACTGATCAATGTTTTTAAAGTCTTAGCTTCAGTACAACTGGCTCAGTATAATTTTACTTATCATCAAATTCTTTCTAAGCAAATTCTAGAGCTTCACTGGACTTCCTCCAAATTAGGACTGCAAGATTATGATTATTTTTTCGATCGATTTATTGTTCCCTTTTTGATTATGGTTTCGATTGTCAAACGGCCAATTTTTGTTTCTGGAAAATGCAGGTTGAGAAAGATGCGATGATTTAAAAACGATATCGCCTACACATATTTATCTCCAATTGTTTGAAAACTTTTTTGGGGGGGGGGGGATGTCGTGTGGAGAGAGCTCAACACAAAACGAGCTCATGTCTACTCATAAGCTGTTACTCATCAATTAAGACCAGACAGTTAAAGGCCACTCAAGAAAGCTTAGGTTTTAAAGGGGCTGTCACAAGGATTTAAAGGGACTTTCGCTTTCAAATTTTTGGGGTTTTTTTTTTGGGGGGGGAGAGCTCAGCGTTGTACAAATGTAGTTGGATTAGTCCTTTTATGAGTCCAGTAAGAGTATTCTAAAGTGCGTAAAAGGCAGGAATTTCAATTTTAGGAAAGTTCTATATTTCAAGCTTAGAAAATAAGGATAAGTAGGAATTACATGCATAAGCCTGAAAAATATGACAGTCAGGTCTGAGTTATCAGGCATTTTTCTTGACTACTGCATTTCACAACAAAATGTTTCATTTGTAAAGGCAGCTTTTGCGGTAACTTTACACACAGCCACATATTTCTGTTACATTGTATTTCCATCTGTACAACTGCACTTCAACTATTTTCTTTTTATTGTGCTGCTTCTGCTAACATTACACACGTGACACTATACACGTATTCTCTTAATTTTTTTTATTCAACACAAACTATTAAACCACCCTCAGACCGACCTGCGATTTGCTTGGGCGGAACCATCAGCATCAAGCAGGAAAAGTAATGCTCAGGTGACGAAAGTGAGAAATTGTGTGATTCTCGTGGAACAAGCGGCATACCGACACAAAAATCGCAACCATGCTCATGTCACCCACAACGCAATGACCATTCCGTGGCTTAAACGTGTTCACTGTTGATTTTTGTTTAGCGCCGACTGATATTGTCGCATTTACACTCGGGTCACAAAATAAGGCAAATGAAATGTTCCTGATGGTCCTATAGCTCAGGCACAGCCTGATCCTGAAAAGTCAGTCGCCGACAATTCTGTGTCATTGAAAGGTCAACCTGAGGACGTGGCTTAACACGCACAATCTTCCAAGAAAAAAAATGGAAAATTGGAACTTCATTCTGAACGTAAAAAATAAATGTGTATATTTTAGCACTTGCAAGAAGCTGTCTACTAACTGTAGGGCCTACACTAAATGCTCACATTATAAATGTGCAATGTATGAACAAATAATTAACTAACCTCGAGAAAACCTTAAAGCACTGGGTTTCTCACTTTATTAATTGGTGCACGGATTTTTTTTTCAAATTCAGTCTCACAGCTGAGTCTCTAGTCTTCACACTTCAAAATCAGTTCATTTACTTTTCACTGACATTTAAAGAACGGCGCACTTATTTGAGCTCTTACATGCAATGTACATTAGGACGGAGGGGACGGTCATTTTGTTTGGGTATATAATGTCAGATCCTGTGAAACCATCATTGGTCTAGTAAATTTCTGGAGCTACACACACCAAGAATATTAAATAGCTCAGTGGATTAAAATTCAAGCCAAATGTAACAGGATCTACGAGATGAGTCACACTTGGACAAAATCTCAAGAGTTATACACGCACGGATGTGCACATTTTAAAATCAAGAAACTTGCATAGGGCTGTCAATTTTCAAACTGCGTTTGACCGAATATTCGGATATATTCAAAACTTGCACGAAGAGCACGGCAGTAAAAATTTACGTGTGGAGATCGATATGGGTCGCTGGAGTGTTTTGCAGTATTATTTTGTTCTGTCAATGGCTTTAACCTAAGAGGATTGGAACAATGAACCGCCGTTGAAAAAAACGTGGCACCTGACAATAAAGCACCTCAACTTACGATAAAAAATCACAGTCTTGTGTGTATGTGCATATTTTTTTGTTTTCAAATGTTCAAACTGGCAAAAAGCTATTTGAATATTCGGTATATTCAGGACAGCCCCAAACTTTCATCTTGATGTGTAAACACCTACATGTATGGCTCCCCCCCCCCCAAAAAAAAACCTGGCAAGAAATGGTTATAATTTATTAAATATCAAGATAAAACTTGCTTTTTGCTAATTCTAGCTATGTTTAAATCACTAAGATTGGAACATCATCCATATGACTCATGAAAAAAAGCCTGTCGCATAAGGGAGAGAGTTTTAACTAACTTATATATGGTTAAAGATATTTTCATAACATTTGCTTTTGCTGTAATTTTCAGAAATGGGCGGATTTGGGGATTAGTATTTTACAGCAAATATTGTTACACTGACCTGTTTAAAAATTTTCTTCATTGATGCTGGAAAAACCAAGAACAAAATAATACTGTTCTTGTAGTTTGGTAACCTGACCCTGTAATTCAGACGAAACAAAGCAATTTATAGATGTTGGGGAATTGTCAGGTCAGGGACCCCGACTATTAAACTGGCTTGCGGATGTGTAACCGATTACAAACAAAGTGTGGACTTACTAAATTTGGTAAATTGGGGCAGTATTTGAAAAACATCGTGTTTTTTTTCCAAAGATGGTCGACCAACCATCGTTGGAAATTAAGACAAAAATTCCTCTTTTTATTAAAAATGACAGTACACCAGGTGCCATGATTTCACAGACTGTCATTCACGTATTTCATAATAATTTGGCATAGTTTTGTTTTTGATGTTTGCAAATGTTGTACATACCCTTTAAAACACTTTCAGTTCAGATGCATTTTACTGCCGCAGACGGCTGCTAATCCAATATTTACGTTGATTAATGACAGTCCATTTCACTTTTAGGAACCACTCGCCCGTGAATAACAGGCAGCCAGCCACCATACGAGTGAAAGCACTTTACAATACCTAACACCACTTTACCCTGCCATAAAAATGCACGCTTGAAATCACCTGACAAAATACGGACAGAATCTGATTGAATTTGACGCCATCCAGTGCTTTTGTCCATAATTCTCAGAGAAAAAAGTTGTACAAAAAAAGGGACGGCAAAGCGTGTAAAAGGGATAACAGTATTGACTCACAGCTTTGCATTTAACTGGGTCTGCTAGGGCCTATACATAGAAACACCTTCACAAGCTGGGCAAATACATGCAACATGGAGTAGGTGTTTTGAGAAGACCTTTCAACGCTAAATCTAAAATTCTAATCCTTATGAGGGTTAGTCAAGAATTAAGGATTTTTTTTCCTCGCTGCAGTGAGACTTCTGTCGCTATTTGTCAATTCACTGTAATCTAATTGGGATATGTTCACAGTAATTTCCTGTTTTTTGACTGATTGCCTTCAAGGGTAGTGACAGAATGTTTATCAGCATTCTGTTAAAAAAAACCCAAAAACAAGTAGCAGTAGTAGAGAGACTGCAAGTAAAAAGGAGAATATAATAATTCGCTCATTACACAAAGAACTTTTTTTTTTTTTAAAGAAACACAAACTTGAAAGTTACTACCTCCACACACTAAAAAAGTTGAACCTAAGATTTTTATCAATTGATTACAATTGTTTCCTTAACTCTTTTGGAGTTGAGGCAACCAGGCTGAACCCCACTCCTAGCTCACTTTCATTATTTTTTTTTGGAAAGTATTCTGCCCGAATCCTTTAAATCAATCAATGAGCAGAAAGCAATGTCACATACTTTGCATTTTAGTTTTTAAGAAGCACCAAGCCAGTGGTTTGACTTTTGTAAATCCTCAAAATCCTCAAAATTAATTGTGAAGAAACAGAGAGAGTTAGGGTTAATTCAAAAAATTTATAACCAAGATATTGGAAAAAAAGTTTGCTGAATTTGTAGAGAGCAAATTGTGTCCAAATGTTTCCCTAATTTTTAGTAAACTTATGGCAGATATAACGAGAAAAAAAAGTTTCCAAAAAATTGTCCAAATTCTACATGGGGAATTAAAAGGACTTCCAGTGAAAATATTGTTTTTTTTTGGTTTTTTTTACAGTGGCCAACAAAAGTTTGATTGTTGGCAAGCAAGCAAGCTGAATATGATCTATTTATTAGAACAAAACTTGGACTTTTTTTCAGTGCTCAGACCAAAAGATCTTTCAGAAGTTCTGTGCTTAAAGACATTTGCTTTTGGTGTAACTTTCCGAAATGAATGGATTTGGGGGTTAGTATTTTATAGCAAATATTGTTACACTGACCTGTTTAAAGTTTTGTAGTCTGGTTCCCCGACCCTACCTCAGATGAAACAGAGCAATTTATAGACGCACGGGAATCGTCAGGTCATGGAACCAGACAAGCTGGCTTGCACCTGCTCATGGACGTGTGACCGATTGCAAACAAAATGTGGTAAATTAGGGCAGTATTTGAAAAAAGTCAGTTTTGTCCGACGATGGTCAGCTGGCCATCGTTGGAAATTGATAAAACAACATTCTCGAAAATGACAGCACACTAGGTGCCATAATCTCACAGGATGATTGGGAATTATTATTCACTTACAGCCAAGCAAGGCATTTCTTAGTAATTTGGTAGTTTTGTTTTTTGATGTTTGCAAATGATGTATAGTACTATAGTACCTTTCAGTTACTTTATCAGTTGTAAGATCCTACAGGCCGTAGTAGGGTTAGGGTGTTGAAAACTGAGACGTGGAGCGAAGTTACAAATCAAGGAAAATTTGATCACTTGACAGATATTTACAGACGATTAAAACTATGATGGGTTACATATTTGAAGGATGAATTATTGAATAGCAGTTTTTGTTGTTTCAATTAAGTATCAATGAATGTACGACGTGTACTCATAAAGATCTAAGATGCAAGCAGTCTGCAGCAACACAGAACTGTTTTCTAGAAATCAAAAACTCCAATTTCTTTCACTTTAAGATTCTGCTAATCAACTAAAACTAAAATTTCATTTATGGGCAATTCTTTGGTAACGGAATTACGGAATTTTGTCACTTTGTCAAGGATTATTCTTTCCCAAGAAAATATGTTCAATGCTAGGCAACTAATCTAAACATGGAAAGGGAGCCAAGACCCAGTAGAATTGATTGACCGCTAAAAAAACAAAAATCCCACAAGATTACCCTTTTAGGGGCGGAGCTTAATATCGGTAACGGAATTACGGACGGAGGACAAGCATATTTGAGTTCTCGCATAAATTAATAAAACTCTCTGAAGTTTTGAAATTTTAAAATTGGACACTACCTGTTATTTGTAGAGTTCAGGGGTGTTGTTAACTACGATGCAGAACAAAGTTGAAAAAATAATCACTCTTTTCATAATTTGCATTTTAATCACGGTAACGGAATTACGCCTGGGCGGTAACGGAATTACGCCATAGGTTTACATGTAATAGGTAAATGCAATACATTAACATTGAATTCAACATAAACTCATCACAATACAAATTTTAGAAGTATATAAAATGCCACAAGGGGAAAGCTCAGTGAAAATAAGCAGATCAAAATGTAAATGTAGGCCTAAACATGTCTGGGCTTCATTTTTTAGGTCAAAGGTCAAGGTCAAATGAAAGCAGTCTGGTGATGGCTGCATTGCCTGTTAGCAATGTATATATTTTTTTTTTACGAAAATCAAATTTTACTATGAACAATTGTATCGTATTTCACTAGTTTATCGTGGAAAATACAATAAAACTGTACTGGTTGGCATCTCTGAGCAAGGGAAGATGTTAAGTTATGCCAAGTAGAAGTACAAGTACAGTCTGGTACTCAACTTTCATATACTTCTTGTGGAATATATTTTCTCTGGGTACCCGACAACGGCTTTGGCAACATATTTAAAGGGAATGTACATCATTGGCTTTTGCTGTAATTTTCAGAAATGAACTATTTGAGGGGTGAGTATAATAGATCAAATATCGTTACACTGACATGTTTGAAGTTTTGCGTTCGAAAATGCTGGAAAACCAAGAAAAACAAAACTGTTCAAGTAGTCTGGTTCCTTGACTCCACTAAAGATAAAATGGATCAATTTATAGATGCTGGAAAAGTGGAAGGTAAGGGAACCAGACTAGCTGGCCTGCACCCATTCATGAACATGTAACAAATAGGTGAAGCAAACAAAATTTGGACTGGAAAGAGTATAAAGTTGAAGCAGTAGTTGAAAAATAGTTAGGATTTTCCAACGGTGGTCGGCCGACCACCGTTGGAAATGTATACAAAAATATCATTTTTTTGAAAATTACTTCACACCAGGTGCCATAATTTTACAGGATGCTTAAGACTGTCATTTACCAACATCCTACAGTGTAGTAAGGTATTTCGTAAAAACTTGGTAGTTTTATTTTCTGATGTTTGCAAATGTTGAATATATTCCCTTTAAGCATCCAAACAACTATTAGCATTTTTTAAATAGTAAAAAAGAAAAAGTAAAAGTAAAAAATATCAATGGAACACCTGATTATTTTTAATTGTATAATAGCAAATTAAAGAGGGAAATGATTTAACAAGTAATTTAGTATTTAAAGTTATTGTCCAAGGTTTACATGCAAATCTCCTATTTAATATGTCATGTACATAATCTGGGGGAAGTGTGCATACTTTGTGCATGCGTAATTCCGTTACCGTAATTCCGTTACCGTTTCGTAATTCCGTTACCACTTGGAAAAATGCCAAGAAATTACTATTTTAAAGTTTTTATTTTTCATTTATGTTTATAGTAGGGTCTTTTCTCAACATACATGATTTGTAGAAAAAAAACAAGAAAATTTGTGAAATAAGTAACTTTTGCCATTTTTTCGGTAACGGAATTACGTGCTAATTTTGACATTTTTAAATGAAGGCCTACACTATATATATATATATATTTATATTTTCAGATTTTTTTTTAATGACCCTGAGTAATGTTAGTAACTTGTAACATCATAAAATAAATCAAATCTTTTCCCTATAATTCAGAAAGTAATACATACACAAAAATTTATTTTTTTACCAAATCTGAATGTTTTTAATCATAAATTGCAAAAATCACCGTTTTTACCAAAAAATTGTATTTTTTTTAATTTCGTTTTTTGAACTGAATTCCCCATTTAATTGAGGTCTGGAAAAAGTACGAAAAATGTTTAATATGTCAATATTTATTTTTGACATTTTTTGCTCTCCCATGGAGAATTGCCCTTATATATAATCCCCCCGGGTGACCAACTCAATTGAAACGCATGCCATCATTTTTGACAAGCAATTTTAATCAGCCACGCGAAATAATAATACTAAAGCACACATACCAACGATCCCAGCACGGTCCGTTTATTTCATGGGCCATTAGGGGCCTGAGTGCATTACGAAGTACTTGACTTGGATCAGTTGATGGGAATGGATGCAAGGAGCGGCACAAGGTAATCTCCTACTGAGAGACATGGTCAGTCAACGATCTCAGGCTGACAGGAGTGGTAGGGGGTTCTTTTGAACAACTGGACTGAGTTCAATTGGAAATGTCCATTTCAAAAAAATTTTGTTTGCACCAAAAAAAAACTCATCCCCAAAATAATTTTGAAAAAATAAAAAATAAAATAACAATAATACAAAATAAAAAAAGGAAAAACAACCCCCCCCCCCAAAAAAACTATTAAAAAAAAAAAATTAAAAACCCAAAACATAAAACAACTCTGAGGGGGGGGGGGGGGTGGAAGATGCTACAAACCATCAACTGTTGTGTTCAGTTATGTCTTGGATACACAGATGGGCACAAATTTTGGGCACGCTGTGTATTAGCCAGTGTGGGAAGGGGGGGGGGCAAAATTGAATTTTAGGACTTTTCAACACAGCAAGATTTTTTGTTACACAGGGGTTTGCATTTTTACAGGATTTTTTTACGAGTTTCATTTACACTAGGTCTTTTTTCTCATTAGACCAAAATCTCGTCCTACCTTTTTTTTTCAAATGAAGTTTTAAAAGTTCTACATAGCTACAACTTTGTTGGAAAAATATAAAAAGGCAAAATGGTGACAATATATGTGCAAAATGTACTGCAAATGTATGAAAAAATAATAATATAAAAAGGAGTAGGCCTTAAGCCAAGGCAGAATCTGGAAATGAATCTATTAATTGTTAAAAAATACGTACAAAAATGGTTAATTTAAAGTCATTTTGTAAGCTTCTTTAAATTATTTTACAAGGGTTCTAAACAAGCATACCAGTCCAACCACCCACCCAACACTTAGTATCACCACACACAATGTACCAATGCAGACCCAACAACAGTTCCCTGTAGCCCTTAGCCCCCCCCCCCCCCCCAATGGTTTGCAGCAGTCTACAAGCATATTTTAACATTTTATTGGAAAAGATAGTACTATTCCGAGGTTGGTTGTTGTGTGCGAATCCAATTTTTATCGGGGGGGGGGGGTTCATGAGAATTTTCAAATTATTTTCTTACAAAACAGGATGTGTTTCTCCGTTCCAAGTAAATTGTGAATGTTGGAGATGAATGTAGAAAATGGACCATCACTGTAATAGCACTCGCCTTTTTCAAAGAAGAATAATTTCACACATCCTCATGCATTAAAACAAATCTACACTCAATTAAAAAAAATTAATAAACTCGGTCACTGGCTAGCCCCACTAGTGTGGCCGTCGGTATGCTGCGCTGAACCTCTGAGCGCAGCATACCGACGGCCACACTAGTGGGGCTAGGTCACTGGCCTGCTTGTGCTACTGTACTGTTATTGTTAGTGCCTTGCCCTTAGTATTGTAGCAACTGTTACTTTGCTTAATTTAGTACTATATGACAACTCATTTGTGGACGGCGTCATGCGCAGTTGGATTTCACCTGCTCGATCCCCACGCAAGAAAAACGGAAATCCCCTAAAACTAAAAGTCTAGTATAAAAGTACATGATCATGTAGTAAAGTAGGACTGACTTGAGAGACCCTTTTTTTTACTTGACTTTAAAAACCAAGCTTCAACTCACTTGCTGTCGATCTGTCACTGTAGCGAGATCCTCTGGGGCACGCTTAAAGCTAAACGATCTTTCACAAAAGATGATTTCCACGCAAAAGTGCCTTCCACAAAGTACAAACGTCGCCTTCGCTCACGACTCGTTGTTTACCGTCCTCGATCCGGCCGTCCGTACCATGCATGACGTGTACTATATACTGTAGGCCAGGCTACGTTCTTTGAATCGTATCTCGCGCTCGCTGTTTTGACAGGTGAACAAAGAGACCGTAAAGTCGTCAGGGCGCCCTCTGTAATTTAGTGCACCTGCTGTTCTGCCCTTTTTATTTTTTCCTGCCAATAAAACTAAATAGCGCCCCCATAGGCACGTGCCTTACGCCTGCCAGTCAAAGTAAATAGCGCCACCTACCGATCAAAGCTGTGCTTTTAATTCAACCTTACCTGCTTAGTAAAATGGATTCTTCTGGAGCGAAATAAATTGTTGAAAATAACATTTTAACTGGGCTTTGAATGGATTTTAAGTAATTAAAGGTGACAATATTAAATCTGTACTTGGATAAAATACGTTTTCATGAAGTATATGTTGTTCATGAGTAGCTGATTCTGTCAGTATTTAGGGTAGTGACAGGCAAAGGGGACATTTTTGGTATGTGCCAAAGTGGCTGGCGCGCGCGCCATACATACGTACACATACGTACCGTACCCGTATGTCCGTGTGATCGCACTGTACTACTCGTACTCGTACGTACATGTACGTCAGGTACGGTGGCTAGGCGCGGATGCAACTGATGCCTACTTTCGTTTAGCTAGCTACGGAACTCTGACTGAAGTCTGCGATTTCTGATGATCCTGTTTCTTATTTACTCACATTCAGCTGAGCAGGTAAATATCAGTTTCTGATTATGTGGTTGAGGGTTTTATTGACTGAAGAATGAATGTGCTTTGCTTCCGTGATGTTTAATTTGGATGCCGATGCGTTTGATGGTTGCTCTATGGTTTGATACTGTGATAGGCGTGCACTGCCGCATTGGCAATGCAAGCACTGAAGCAGTGCAAATATGCAACTGCACTCTGCACTGCCTGCAGTCTCGATCTTTACTTTGGGGGGGGGGGGGGGGGGGGGGGGGGTGGATGGATAGGGGTGGTGAGGGTGGATAGGGGTGGTGAGGGGTGGGTAGAGAAGATTGATACATACATGCATGATCTGATGATTATGAAGTAACACAACCCGGAAAGATTCCCATATCTGGCCATCACTTATTTTTCCCTTAAATGACGTATCACTATCACTAGTAGTAGGCCTATCAGTATCAGCCATCAGAAAGTGATTAATAGGCCTATGTCAAAATTAGCAGTGACAAATTTTGAATTTTTACTGAGAAAACACTTACAAATTTTCAGACCAGTCCCATAGGGTTTGTGCACAGGGTGAAAAGTGATGGACAGATATGGGAATCTTTCCTCTACCGTACGTGCCTCGCGCGATGAAATTTAAAGTCGCGCTGTAGTTGGTCAAGAGAATTAAAGCGCCCTCAGTCAACGGCAAATGATGAGAGATGGCCGAGTGCGAGACTCCAATGATCCTGGTGAACGAAATTCTTGTAAATTTCATAGGAAAATCCGTACTGGGCCACCACTTTTTTCAATTAATTTTCAAGCGCCAAAAGTTGCATCCTTTATATAACCCCCTCCACTTTCCCTCCTCTGCTCTCACCCTCTCCTTTCCTTTATTCCTATTTATTAATCAGCCCTTGAAGGGACTCCGACTAAATTTATGTCCCACTTTCAAAAAAGACTTTGATATTTTCTATATAATCAGAAACAGTTTCGTATACGTGTTGCAAATTGGTTTGACGTTGTCAATATTTATGAAAAAATATAGTTGTGACCCCAGTGCTTTATGTCAAATTCCCGATGAGCATTTGTGCTTGAGTTTCCCAAGCTAAGTGAATGAACAAAACAATGCTTATTTATACAGCATCAACTGGCAAAATGGGTACAAGAAAGTCATATTTTCTGTCAAAACCTGTTGAAAATCTTGAAAACGGGGAAAAAAGGAAGACTGCCTGAGGTTGCAGATTTCATTTGGTACATGTTGTGTAGATGTTGATTAAGCGTTTTAATTAAAAGTAATTTTACCTCAAAATGTGCAATTTCTTACTGCACGTTGTGCTACATCGTGATGCGCATATCTGTGAACACTATAAGTTTTACTATGATGTGTAATAATTATCATGATCTCTGATGAAGATATGAAAAATTTGGCTTTTGTAATCATTATAATTGTGTTAAAAAATGTAACCATAATAACCCCTAAATCTGTTCTAAATGGAACTGATTGAATTATCGTGTACTTTTGTCAAAATATTATATCCAATGGATATACCGGTAATGTGTGTGCCTGTTTTGCATCTTGTGACTCATATTTGTTTCCAATTTAACAGTCTTAAAAAAAAAGTATTTTGAATGTAAGTTGTCCAGAGCCAGAATAAAATTAGAAATTATAATCTGTTTGTAACATTACCCCAGCATTCTTGTGATGACAGTCTGTGTGACCCCGTGTCAGGTCAAATACCACACACCATCTCTAGCATTCCTGTGGTTTAGCTTCATTCCCCTACCATCATGATGGTCATCGTTAGCTGTGCATTTTAGGCCCTTTCGGTGTACGTGGTGTACCTACAATTACAATGTAATAAATACTGTGCTACATGTGCCATTGCATGGGGAAGTATTGAAAACGAAGACCCCTAAAACAAAGACAGAAGACCACTCGAAAACAGTCGGTCTTCGAGTGGGTCTTCGAAAACGAGGGGCGAAACCCGGTGATGCAAAATCCGAATTTAACCTTTTATTGTTCACCCATTATATTCAATGAAAAAGAATCCTGCATGGTTATGTAGCAAAATTTGTCTGAATAAACCCTGGGATGGTCTGGCGAAAAATTTGACGCAGCTTGAGCTGTGTAAAAGTGGACAGCAAATTTTCGATGTAAAGATAACATCGTTATCAATACAAATTACAAAACTGTTACAGACTGATGTTTCAAAATTGACAAGGCATTGAACGTTACTCTTTTAGGGTGACGTTTCAGGGACTGATTACTCAATTTGTGGTCTCTTTGGGGTGCTCCCATGCAGAAAATCACTTGAGAATATTAACTTCACTTGTCCCCTTCTGACTTTTCAAAATGAGTGCCGTTTTTCACACACAAAAATCCCACCTGCCAGGATCTTGCACTGTAAGTGCAGACCCCTTGCGGTCAAATTCTGGAGAAAAAAAAAGTAAGGGAGGATTAGAGTTTGCCAGCACCCCAGAAGTAATCTGTATTTACCCTCCAAGGCTAACTTCTGGCAGCAACAAAGCTATTGACATGAGCAAAGGAGAGATTTTTTTTTGGAGGTCCCTCTAATTTCTATAATGCCAGAAGATTTGTCTGGCTGTTGCAGAAGTGAAAGCAATAGTTCATAAATTTAAAGTAAAGGAAACTGGATTGACTGCTGTTTATCAAGGTGTTTTGGATGGACTTTTCTGTTAACATTTTAAATTATTTGGTGGCCGTCATCTTTTTGAAAAGCAGGTTTGTATTCAAAAGGCAGCAACAGTGTAGTTGGTAAGCGTTACAGTACAACTATGCCAGCATTGCAAACTCAATGGACCCAATACATCAGGTTTTGACCAACCTACAGTTTTGAATGTTCAACCACGGATCCTCTACTCAAGGATAAACGACTCGTCTGAGTTTGTGTACAAAATGTACGGAACGGATTGTCTACATGCGTGATACAACAACGCATAGAACATACTGTAGAACAACACAATAATGTCATGATCGCCGACAGCTGGCGTTCTGACAGAAATCTGACCACTGAAAGACTGCAGTTGAGCAACGAGTCTCGCACACTCGCACGCATGACGCGCAAGTGCCATATCACGCCTCTAACCAGAAATTTGGGGAAGTCGTTTTATCCTTGTGTAGAGGATCCGTGGTTCAAGCTAATGTCTGATGAAAGTTTTGATACCAAATATATTTACTTTGAGCTGTATAATAACAGCTGATGTCATACGATCATTTTGACACATATTTTGGGAAAATTTAGACCTACATGGTCATTTGCTGCTCTTGCAAAGTATCAGATTTTTGGTGCAAGGTGCTGTAATTGTAAAATGCCATTTTTAATTTACTGTAATAAGTGTTCACTCGTGAATAAAGTTGAATAATCATGTACAGATTTAAGAGCTTTGTCTTTAAGTCCAATTGCCTACAATTTTGCAGGTGTAGTAAGCACAGATGGCCACGTGCATACTTCGCAGCAGAGATCTTAGGGGTGGGCAGAATCCACTCCCCCCCCCCCCTTTTGAGAAAAAGGATAAAACTGACATTTTTTTTTTGTACATGCAGCTCGTTCAGTGTTAACATATTGTTCGAGTCAGGTTCTGTCACGCTGTTGTGACAGAAATTAATAAAGAGAGGCGATGCGTTAAAAACAACCATTCTTAGTACTGCTTTCAACAGACGGCTAGTCTTCTGTTTACCCATTTCTCTCTAGGACCTAAGGAACAAGGTTTGCACTCAATGCCTTGTAATTTTTTTAATGTCCAACGTCTACTTCAACGCTCACTCAACAAATGCCCATTTGCCCAAAGTGCAAGTGCGGACAGATTTTTCCTCCCTTCTGTAAAAATGTGCCTCTGTGTTTATCTAAGAGGGTTCATTGACCTGATCTGCAATTTGCCGGACGAGTTTTGGATTGAATTCAGGCAAATTAATTTGAGGTTGTTGTTAAATGTCAAGTGCAATTGGATGCCAAGAAGAACTAGGATTCCAGCTGGGAATCCCTGTGTGCTAAGCATGCTGTCTCTTGTAATACTAGTCATGAAAACAATATTTGGAACTGACCTACAGTGTGTGTATTTTCAAAGTCACTATTAAAGTGTAGAATTTCTCAAACTTTCTTTAAAGTAGAACTAATCTCCTTAACTGCTTTAATATCTTTACATTTTCATCAACCTGAATTGGCCCAAATTAATGTGTTTGAAATCAACCCACCTCGAGCTTGACATACATGTATATGACCGATAGACAGTGTCACTTGTGACGTCCTATCGACAGGCAACCGCCAGGCAGTGTTGTAGTACTCGTGCTCGGTACTCGTACTTGAGTACTACTCGAGTACTTTTTTTTAAGTACTCGTACTCGTACTCGTACTCGTACTCGTACTCGAATGTCAAAGTACTCGTACTCGAAATGACAGTACTCGTACTCGGGCAGCAAAGTACTCGTACTCGACTTACCACGGCCTTATTTTATCGATACTTTCAGTTTGAAATGGTTGATTGGTTTGTGGAGAAATCAAAATTTCCTGATTTTCCTCTGTGCACGTCCGGACAAACACATTTAACAGCTAGCCGTGAGTAGGTCTGTTTATCGGTCTGACTGGGCCTGGGCCAGGGCCAATTACGCAGAATGAACAATTTACCGTATGGCCGTATTCGGAAATAAAAGTACTCGTACTCGGAAGTACAAGTACTCCTACTCGGAGAACTGTACTTGTACTCGGAGGTACTCGTACTCGTACTCGTACTCAGCAACCTAAGTACTCAGCAGTACTTGCAAAAAAGTACTCGACTACAACACTGCCGCCAGGCAACCCAAACGTTTAAGTAACTTTTCCATGTTATTTTGCCCTCATTAAACAATTCGTGTCACCAATTTTAAACCTCTGATATTTCAAGAGATACCGTACATGAAGTGCAGAAGTGAACAGTTCGCTGAATGTGATTGCAACATCCATTTTTGTAAACAAATGTGACATGGTCTATGTATTAAAGGAGAATACACGAGAAAGTGTGGATTTGTAATTTAAGAATTCACGAGGCGCGAAGCGCCAAGTGAATTCGTAAAATGAGAATCCGCACTTGCGAGTGTATTTTTCTACTTAAACCATTGCGTCAACAGAAGTATTGGAAAGAATGCTGCAACCTGACGCCACTTTTTTCTTCATATATCATCTCAATGAAGGCCATTCGTCGGTTGCAAAATTGATGATAAGACTGGGACTGATAATGTTTCCAAAATTGTTAGGAAATACTTGAAATGACTCTCAAACGACTTTGTACACAAGCGCGGAAGTGGCGTCAGGTTGCAACATTATTTCCTGGCGTGTTTAGCATGTGTATCGCCACACCCGTACCAACCAAGTCATTTTGTGTGTATAGGCAGGCTCCTTACGTCAAAATGGATAGTTCAGACGACGATTTCTTTCTGACTAAAAGTAGATTTTGCAGTGATGGCGGAAAATCTGACAGTGAAGATGCATTGGTAGGACCTAATTTTCGGAAAGCAAATGTTCACGCAGACGGTCGTATTCATGCTCATTGTGGAGAACAGTGTGGATTCGTAATTCCGAATCCACACTTTACTAAAGATTCGTCGTTCCGAATCCACACTTTGTGACCAGTGTAAGAGATTCGTAGATCCGAATCTACACTTTTAACAATAGTGTGACGCAATGGTTTAAGTTGTTTTTAATTGCGAGGTTATTGAATATCCAATCCATCCATGGCATAACCAAATTTTTCATTTTTACAGCGGTTGTAGTCCAACCTCTACGTAGATCGAAGAAGTTTGTTTTTTAGGCCTTTGCCAACCCTCAACAGATGCCATGCAAGTGTGAAATAACTCAGGCCAAAGGTCGTAGGGCTTGACCCAGGATCAAAACCAGTGACCTGCCTAGAAGCGCGAGGTCACGAGGTCAGAATTGGGAAGATTTATTTTTCCCGAAAATGTATTCTTGATAGCTGCAGCTTGTTCACGGTGATAGAAAACAGGGAAACCCATAAGGTTTCTGGTAAATGTAGGATGTAGGCAACTGCAAAGTGATGTGATTATGATGGTGGTCTCTAGTCTCGGTTCCAGCAGGAAGTTGTCATCACGGCAGACACTGGTCGTTAATAAAAGGAAACTACCAAAACAGAAGCCAAGTAAGGCAGCCAATGACTCCCCCAGGATCTTCCCAACTATCTTATAGGAAGCAACATATTTATGATGAATCAGCAATAATGTGCTGGTAACAATAGCAACTTCTTGTGATCTTATGTTTCTAAGGGGCTGGTCAAGTTTAAGGATAATTGTACGACTTGGAAATATTCAATTAAACTTCTAAACTACACTTGTCTACTTGTTTCCCAGTTCACACCCAATGCTTTAGTGTAGTGTGTCTCATGGCATTAACTTCATTTATAAATCCTTATGATGCGGTGTCCTGTTTATTGCACCATTTTATGTTAACCAGTGACTTTTATGGAAGGATTTAGCACTCCAGCAGGTAAGACTAAGCTTTTACATGTTCACTGTCATAGTAATATGAAACAGTCTGCTTTAAAGGTTTTTTTTTTAGTACATATAGTAAAAGGTTGTGTTGGCCGTTTCCTAAACAGGCTTCCAGAGCTACGGCTACGTGTATTACAAGCTTGTTCCCACTTAATTGAAATGGACGAAGACCTAGACGATTACCTTGCTTTCCAAGTGTCCTCAACTTTTAAAAGAAGCTTCACATTTAAGCCTTTCTTCTCTCGACTTTTTTCTTTCAGAACTGCCTGGAAACTACAATCGGCAAGTTGGATCAACATTACATCCACTGGTGAGTTTAGTGAACTTTAATTATCGAAAGTTGTACATTCATCAAATGAATCTAGAGGCAAGTTTCAACTACTTTTTACAAGAAAAAGTAGAAATCCGTGCACATTTTCATGAATTTGAATTGCATTGCTTCGGCCGATTTGATCTTAATGGACTAGTATAAGTGGCACATTATCCGAGTGTTACTGCCTGTCAACTTGCAGTGGTACTTTGATGGGAACCGCGTTCATGAATTGCTGATTGGCTTTGTAGCTTGCTGAGATATGGAAGACCTGTTCTCTACGCAGGGCAAGTTTTATCTGAAAGCCTCATGTGCTGAATAAGGGTAACCACCCCATCCATATCAAAATCCAACTGCTTGCATATTTTGTTGGAATCTGTTGGAGTGAGTACTACAACAGAACTGATTATGCTTTGCATGGGGTTAGGCTTACCACCGTTATGCAGAGTCCAACAGTTAGGGTGTTGAGTTTACCATAATCATCATTTGGTGTTGGATTTTGCAGGAGTGAGGAAGGTTCCTTGTAAATTAGGTGGGGGTGGGGTTGGGGGGGATAATGAACCTAGGAAAAATAGTTGAAAGATTTAGTAGTACAAATACAATAGAGCAAGCACATGCTTCATTTTTTTTGTGGCTGGCTGCATAAGGCACCAATCTTCTGCTTTGTTCAGAAAATGCAGTCTGTAAAGCAATTATGGTTATAAGAATGTAGATTAAAGAATGTACCCATTGGGGCACAATTAACATGGATGTGAAATGAGTGATGGATTCAGAGGATTAATGCCCTCCTGACTAATATTGTAATCCAGGAGTACTTTCCTTGATGGAATGCCGTATTTCATAATTCATACTATGAATAAATTATGGCACGGTCGTTAGCCTGAATATTACAGATTAGCAAACTTCTGCGAAACGCATTAGTAGGTGTCTGAAATGCGTCACAGCACTGGAGGGCAGACGCGGTGAAGGTTTCAGGCTAATGAATGCGTTGCTGATGGGTAGCTGTGGACACACTGCATAACGACACCCTCGAGTTGAAAAAAAAATGGAGAATATACTGGAAGACATTGTATCCCCATTGTTGGATGTTGCTGAGTGCCCATGTTGCTTGTAGGCCTTTTCACACTAAAGCATCCATCCCATGGGAGTAGTGGAGCCCGTCTAACCAGGATATTTTTCCCATTTTTGACGGGCTCTCGACCAATCAGAAGGCCGGATTTGGCCCCACGTGACCCCTCATTAGCATAAAATGAGGAACGGGAATCTACCATTGATCATTGGGGTGTCAAGGGTGTGAAGGGCTTGCGTAATTGCAAATAATTAAAGGCGTGTACCATTATTCTGGTATTGAATAATATACGTATAATAAATATACATGTATTTTACGTAAATTGAAACAATAATGATTGTCTAATTGAAGAATTAATCTTTTAGTAAATTATTATCGAGTTCGGCGAACATCATCTCGAATGGAACAACCATTAAGATTTGTTATGAGTGACTCATCCCGGTAGTCCATTGTGCAATCCACATGGAAAAGTTCGTGTACGTGCACCACTGATCTCTATATAAAGACTGGATAGCGGATATGCATACAACATTCACACAGTAGACTTTTCATATTGACCAATTCGCCCCGGTCTCACGAAGATGGCCGCGTATATTACGAACGTTCTACGCGTAAATACGCGCGCGTTGTATCAACAGTTGACGCGCATTTTGGTCACGTACACATATTATGATGTTCTAAAAGGGACACATTTCCGTAGTGATTATTATTTCAAAAACGCCGAAAAAGTGATTTGCGGCATTATAAAAGTAACCACTACGTTAGAAAAATTGTAGTAAACCTTGGTCAGTTGGTCAGTGGTGGTGGCCAAAATATAAGTCAAGTGAGCCGCGACGTTACAAAAGAAATCAGCGTACTTGCATGGTATAGTCTGATGATTGTTTTAACCATGGAGGAATTGTGTTAATAATAGATCAGAGAGCTAATGAAGCCATGCGTTCTATACGGAGACCGATGGTCGATCACCCCTCGATGACCGCACCGATCATGGAGCAAATAAATAACTCCGTGCTTCTGCACCGATATTTGCCAAGTCATATCGTGTATGTTATCCAGGTGCAATAACAATTGAACAATATTCTTCCACTTTCATTTACTCATTTCGTTACTCATTGACTCATTTGGTTACTCATATGAGTAACGAAATGAGTAACGAAATGAGTCAATGAGTAACGAAATGAGTCAATGAGTAACGAAATGAGTCAATGAGTAACAAAATGAGTAAATGAGTAACCAAATGAGTAAATGAGTAACCAAATGAGTAAATGAGTAACCAAATGAGTAAATGAGTAACCAAATGAGTAAATGAGTAACCAAATGAGTAGATATATATTAAATGATTTCATCCGTTCCTTACCATTCCGAGATTAACCTTCAAAGCTTCAACATGAATACTATTTCTGCAGTCAAACCCTATGCTTGTCACCAGTGTGACAAACGCTTTGGACGGAGATATAACCTCTTGAGACATACCGAAAATGCACGTGCTGAAGATGAATCCCATTATCCGACATAGACGAATTTGAGGTGGATAATTCTGAACCTGCATTTAAAAGCAGTAGATTTGAAGATCCGGAAATGGAAATCTATGAAACTGAATCTACATATGATGAAGACGAAGATCTTGAGGAAAATGATTCCGAATCCGTCATGGAGGTGGAAGATGACGAATCATCTGATGAAGATGAATCTAGTTCTGATTTGGAAGACAATGCAGCCTACTTACACTGGTTTAAAGAGGCCATAGAAGCCACCAATGAGATGTGGAGTGAAAAACATGAAAAGTATATCAACGATGGCATGAGTGGAGATCAGGTCACGGAAACGGCCAACAGGAAGACCTTGTGGGCAGTCAAGCGAATCTTTTTTAACAAATACAAAGATTTTTTGTCAAGTTTAACACAAAAAGACCTAGTAATTTATATCCTTGATTTTGTAAACAAGTCCGGCACGGTGGCACAACTAGGGTTCGGCGTATTCCTGTACAGACAACGGGGAGTCAGGTTGGCGTAGCGGTACTTTCCCCGCCTTCCACCGTTGTGACCCGGGTTCGAATCCCGCCTGGGCCCATACGTGGATTGGGTTTTCAGTCCCTGTCTGTTCCGTGGGTTTTCCCCAGAATATTCTTCTGGGCTTTTCCTCCCACCTCTAAAACTGTAACTTCTTCTCAATGTCTTCTCTCTACAGGTTTCTTCAGGCTTGCGAGCTACAGTGCCTAGGGCGCTTTTGAGGAATCCTTGGTTTCATTACCAGTTATGATTAAAAGGAATATACAACATTTGCAAACATCGAAAAATAAAACTACCAAGTTTTTACGAAATACCTTACTAGGATGTTGGTAAATGACAGTCTCAAGCATCTTGTAAAATTATGGCACCTGGTGTGAAGTCATTTTCAAGAAAATTGTATTTTTGTAAACATTTCCAACGGTGATCGGCCGACCAGCGTTGGAAAAACCTAACTATTTTTCAACTACTGCTCCAAATTTACCATTTTTCAGTCCAAATTGTGTTTGCTATTGGTTACATGTTCATGAACGGGTGCAGGCCAGCTAGACTGGTTCCCTTGCCTTACAATTTTCCATCATCTATAAATTGATCTATTTTATCTTTTGTGGAGTCAGGGAACCAGACTACTTGAACATTTTTGTTTTTCTTGGTGTTTCCAACCTTTTCGATCACAAAACTTCAAAAATGTCAGTGTAACAATATTTGATCTATTATACTAAGCTCTCAAATAGTTCATTTCTGAAAATTACAGCAAAATCCAATGATGTACATTCCCTTTAATGATAATAATAATAATGGAGTATTAAGGCTTGAAATCATGTTTAGTCGGTCAACTTCATTGACTTCTTTCACGTACAGATATTTGAAGCTCCCGCACATGCCGTGCGCTGCCAATTAAGTCCTATTGTCCGAGGGACAACTACTGTTCACTACTGTTGCGTAACTCCTGACAAGCGATATTTAGAACGCTCAATAATCCATCCCCCACTGTACATGCAGGTAGGTTAAGTCGGTGAAAAATAATCGATATAATGAACACTCTTGAAAGAATTACGTCTATGTGGATTAGGGAAACAGGGGTATCTGATAGGATGGTGTAAAATATACAATGTGTAGAATGCAGTCAGTCCCTCAATACAGATGTACGTGTACATACTGTACACACCGTACCGAGTGAGCCGACGCTGAAAGTTTGTGGTTTTCTACGACCACCGCACACATATACATGTACATAGATGGTTCTGGTAATTGTTATTGCACCTGGATAACATACACGATATGACTTGGCAAATATCGGTGCAGAAGCACGGAGTTATTTATTTGCTCCATGATCGGTGCGGTCATCGAGGGGTGATCGACCATCGGTCTCCGTATAGAACGCATTACGGTGGCCCTGGAACGACATTTTAATATTGACGTTTTTAATGTGAACCTTGTAACCTCTTAATATTGACGTTGTACCTTCGCAATATGCACGTTGCACGCGGCTTAATATCGCATTTTGGAAGTTGTTCCTTCTTAATGTGAATGTTCCAACTTGTTAATATTCACGTTCGATCTTGTCAATGTACACCATTGATCATGCTTGATGTCAACGTTGCACCTTGCTTCTTCGCAATATGAATCATGTACCTTCGCATTGTGAACGTTTGACCTTGCATCTTGTTAATATCATTGTTGAACCGTCCTCCTTCGCAATGTGAATCATGCATTCTAAAAAGTACAAAGTCCTTGCCAAGCCCTATAGTTAGATAACCAGTTATGATGGAGTTTCAATCTGACGGCAACATTTTTTGGAAAGAAATGTAATCTACACCGTATTGATTACCTTTCTTTCCAGAAAATGTTCCAATTCTAGTCTAACCCCATCCTGTTATTCAACCACATCATATTAGGTTACACATCCTCATCTGTAGTTAGTC